GTGGAGAACCTACCCTGTACCTTCATTCACAATCCTACAAGAATTCATTACTAGTGGATTATTCTCTCCTGTTAGGGATCTCTGTTTCTAAGGGTATGGCGACACGGTGGGGTTTTTTTTTGGAAGAGGCATGCAAATAGCCTGATCTGCGAACAATGATCAGCGCTCGCGTGTCTTGCTGTGCACTTGAACGACCTTCATTTTCATTGTTGTCTCAGTGGTAGGGATTTACTCTTGAGTGATCTGTAAACAATGATCAGCGCTCCCGTGTCTTGCTGCACACTTGAACGGCCTTCATTTTCATTGATGTCTCAGTGGTAGGGATTTACTCTTGAACAGAACTAAATTGTCTTGTACCAAAATCTTTCCTGCTTTGAAATCACTTTTTAATGTTTTTTAAATTCCTTAATTACATGTGAAGAAGATTGTAATCTACACGCTTGTAATTCCTTTCCATCATTTGTATCCTCATATAAAAGAAAGATAATGTTGAGTGGAGAACCTACCCTGTACCTTCATTCACAATCCTACAAGAATTCATTACTAGTGGATTATTCTCTCCTGTTAGGGATCTCTGTTTCTAAGGGTATGGCGACACGGTGGGGTTTTTTTTTGGAAGAGGCATGCAAATAGCACTCGCATTTGCATACCTTCTTCCATTTTTTTCCCCCCGGAAGAGGCTTTTCCGCCATTTGGCCCCGTCTACATGGGGCCAAATGTCGGAAAACTCCCTCTTTCGAAAGCTCCCTTCTTCCTTGTAAAACAAGGTTTACAGGGGCTTTCAAAAGAGAACACAGTATAGTCGTACCCTAAGGGAAGATAAAGCAGTCCACACAGGGCACTTGGGGTACATCTACACTGCAGGAGAAAAGGCAAATTAAGATAGGCAACTTCAGCTATGTCAATTGACTTCCCTTACGCCTTATGAAATGAGGGTTACAGGAGTCAGAGTAAGTCCGCCATCTCAAAAGCGACACGGTGGGGTTTTTTTTGGAAGAGGCATGCAAATAGCACTCGCATTTGCATACCTTCTTCCATTTTTTTTCCCCGGAAGAGGCTTTTCCGCCATTTGGCCCCGTCTACATGGGGCCAAATGTCGGAAAACTCCCTCTTTCGAAAGCTCCCTTCTTCCTTGTAAAACAAGGTTTACAGGGGCTTTCAAAAGAGAACACAGTATAGTCGTACCCTAAGGGAAGATAAAGCAGTCCACACAGGGCACTTGGGGTACATCTACACTGCAGGAGAAAAGGCAAATTAAGATAGGCAACTTCAGCTATGTCAATTGACTTCCCTTACGCCTTATGAAATGAGGGTTACAGGAGTCAGAGTAAGTCCGCCATCTCAAAATTATTTTGAAATAATGGCTTGCTACATAGATGCGCACTTTGTGATTTCGAAATAACGTCAGTGATTCTGAAATAACACATTTGCCGCTATGACTTAAAAATTAGTTTTGATGCTTGAGGTCCATGTGGATATTTACAGGGCTACCCCGTGTACTCAAGGAAAAGATGAAAATGGACAACCCTGTAATTTTGGTGGAGAAGTATTGTCCTCATTTTAAAGACGGCACAATTCAAACGAATCACAGCATTGACCAGTTTTTATTGCTGATGTTTAGATCCAAGGGTACAAACAGTTTTAACAAGGCTGTATATTGAGACTATTAAGAGATTGTGGTTGGGGTCAGATGCCTCTGCACTGAATCAGAGAGTCACTTTCACCAAAATGGAGGCCAAGGTCTTTCATATCATTCCCTTAATCAGGTCATGATTTAAGGTCGCATAATTTGGGACTATTTCATTGTCATTCAAATGTACAAAAGAATGGCCAGACTGGGTCGGACCAAAGGCCCATCTAACCCAGACCAGCCACCCACCACGCGGCCTCGCCGGCTGGGCAGCACAGCTCCCATGGAGCTGGAACCAGGGCCGTGGTAAGGTTGCCCCAGTAGGCACAGCCTCACGGTGACCCGGTTCTAGCCATGGCACGTGGTTGGAGGCGTGGCCTGGCAGTGTGCTGCAGCCCGGCAGGCAAGGGTTCGTGGTCCACCACCGGTCTGCAGACCAGTGGTTGGGACCTGCTGCTTTGAGACACCCTTGTTGTGTGTCTAGACTACAGGGTTTTTCGGAAAAAGTGACCTTTTTTCCAAAAAACTTCACCTGCGTTTAGACTGCAGCTGCGTGCTTTCGAAAGTAAATCGAAAGAACGCGGCAGTTTTTTCCATCATGGTAAACCCAGACCAGCCACCCACCACGCGGCCTCGCTGGCTGGGCAGCACAGCTCCCATGGAGCTGGAACCAGGGCCGTGGTAAGGTTGCCCCAGTAGGCACAGCCTCACGGTGACCCGGTTCTAGCCATGGCACGTGGTTGGAGGCGTGGCCTGGCAGTGTGCTGCAGCCCGGCAGGCAAGGGTTCGTGGTCCACCACCGGTCTGCAGACCAGTGGTTGGGACCTGCTGCTTTGAGACACCCTTGTTGTGTGTCTAGACGGTAAAATTCACCTCTGGGCAGAGGACCAGCTCAAAGTGTAACAAAAATGTATATTTTAGTATTGCTTATAAGACTATAAGGGTATGTCTACACTGCCACCCTAGTTCGAACTAAGGTAGCTAATGTAGGCATTCGAACTTGCAAATGAAGTCCGGGATTTAAATATCCCAGGCTTCATTTGCATGTTCCTGGGCGCTGCCCTTTTTAAATACCCCGTAGTTCAAACTATCTGCCCGCAGCTATATGCGGCACGGACTAGGTAGTTCGAATTAAGCTTCTAATTCGAACTACCATTATTCCTCCTGCAAGAAGGTTTAATGGTAGTTCGCATAGTCCTGTCTTTTGCTCCCTGTGAGCATTGCAAATTAAGCTGTACCCCTTGTCTGCATCACAAACTAAATTGCGATAGAAATGTAGCCGTGTTAGTCTGGTGTAGCTGAAACAAAACACAGGACTATGTAGCACTTTAAAGACTAACAAGATGGTTTATTAGGTGATGAGCTTTCGTGGGCCAGGCCCACTTCCTCAGATCAAATAGTGGAAGAAAATAGTCACAACCATATATACCAAAGGATACAATTCAAACTAAATTGCGTAATTCAATTTTAGTAATTCAAACTAAATTGCGTCTCCAGTAACTATTGATCTTCTCTGATGCTCTACACAATTGTGTGGTGTGAGTGGAGGGTGTGTCAGTGTGACAGCCAGCACAGATGCCCAGGTGATCAAGAAGTGAGAATCTTGAAGATAACCAGGAAACAGCTATTGTGTCTGAGGCTAAATTGAATTAGTAGTATTGACAGAGCCCTGGAGACAGGCAGAGATGGCCGAGAGTGAGAGACGTCTGGGCAGCCTGACAATCCCCATGAAAAGATAACTCTGGACAACACAGATTAAGAGGTGTTAAGGGTGGATGATGGCAGCATGACACTGCAATGCCCATAGACTCCAATGGGAACTGACATGGATAAGAAGGGGAGCTCTGGCCATGGGACTCCGGGTTCGGTCCTGCAAGCCAAGCCTCAGAGGAGTCTTGAGTTCTTCTTGATCGCGATTCAGCTTCTCAGTCAGCAAGGCTGACCAGTAAGACTGACTTGAGCCATGACGGACTGGTCACTATGCACCATCTGCAGGACCTGTGTGTGTGTGTGTGAATGCACATGCTCTTTTCAGTGTGTATTTTCAACAAATGCGGCGAATTGCCTTTTCGCCTAGACGCATGCTTCTTATAAGCATAACAAAGGGCCCATGCTCCATGTTAGTCCCTGCTAAGACCCACTTGCAAACATAAAAATCAGACTAAACTTCTCTATCGGCATCGTACTGCCAAAGAGCGAATTTCAGACCTAGGATCCTGACAAGAAACATCTGGAAGCAACGGGATAATCCTTATGGATTGCAGTGGGATTTGGATAGGAGCTGTTAGGGCGAGACTGCTGGGAAATGGCAAGAACCAAACGGGATGATTTTCCTGACACCCAGCTGTGCTACTCACGCCTCTCAGAATCACCTTGACTTTTGTCCTCATTGCGACACCAATAAAGTCAGTGCAAGGACAGGAGAAATGCTGCTGGCCCATACAATTTGAAGATGAAAGGAGGCTGGAGATGCACCGTGCTTGTCACGCCCGCTGAGGCTGAGATTAGCCCAATAATCCCCAACGCTGACATTAGGAGGGCCAGCGAAGGCAATCAAGTTTGTTTGGTAATTAATTAGGACCTCCTCCATAAAGCACCCTAGATCCCTCAGGCTGTCCTAGGAACGGTATAAAAGAGCTCTCGACTCAGGTCTCCTCTAAACTTCATCTCCACGGTGAACCAGGTAAGTCTGATTCAACTCAATCTCTTTCTCACCACAGAGATGTCACCGTCGGGGCTAATTTCATTCTGGACTGAATTTCACATGTATTCTATGTGGCTAGTGTCAGGCATTAGGCATAGGCATAGGATGTTCTTCCATAATCATCTTGTGCAGCTAGTAACTTCCAGGTGCTGATGGATTCACGATTTCAAACAAAAGCGGGGACTTCAAGTGGAACATAGGAAATCGGGTGCAGATTTCCTATTATCAGAAAATTGAATTCAGGCTTTTAAATCTTTAGACACACTCTTAAGCAAATTTCAATGAATTGTATTAAGAAGAATTTTTCTCGAGTTAGACCACAGAGGGCAGATTGAAGGGCCTTCCTCTTTACTTTGAAGATGATTACTATGACCCCAGCCATGTTCTCCTTGAGAAATATGTAAAATGGACCTAGAATCGCAGGGGTTCATCAAGAAATAGCTACATTTATCCCAGTCTCCGGACACTGAGAGAGGTTCTACGTGGCAAGGGGACAAAGGAGAAGAAAAAGGAAACAGGACCCAATACACAGCTATGAATATAGGGACAAAGTCCTCTCCTCTTTCTCAGGCCAGTGTGGACCCCACTAGAATAATAACCCAGCTTTGAAGCCCTTTTTCTGTTGTCACGTGTCGAGTCTCTCATTCTGTCCCCTGCTGTGTGTTCCAGGTTCACCTGCATCCCACCGAGATGGCTTTCTCCAGCCTGTGCTATCCAGAATGCGGGGTGGCCCGGCCCAGCCCCGTCTCTGGTACCTGCAACGAGCCGTGCGTTCGGCAGTGCCCTGACTCCGAAGTGGTGATCAGACCCTCCCCGGTTGTGGTGACCCTCCCCGGACCAGTTCTCAGCACCTTCCCTCAGCAGAGCGAAGTGGCAGCCGTAGGAGAACCTGTGGTGGGAGCCGGCTACGGGGGCTCCTTCGCTAACGGGGGATTGTACGGCTATGGAGGCCGTTACGGAGGGTTGTTCGGTTATGGGGGTTATGGTTATGGAGGCCGTTACGGTTATGGGGGCTTATGGGGCTACCCAGGCTTTTATGGTAACGGAGGGTACTGGGGCTACCCAGGTCGTTATGCTCACGGGGGATACTGCGGCTACCCAGGATATTATGGTAACTGGGGATACCCAGGATATTATGGTGGATTATGCGGTGGATACGGGGGATATGGCCGCAGGTACCTTGGCGGATACTGTGGGCCTTGCTAAACCCAGCAGGACCATCCGTGGCAGACCCAGGCAATGAACGGCCGGATACAGATTCCCCCCTGAGCTTTGGGGCTTGGCTTTCAGACGTGCTGGGCAAACCCGGCTCCAGCTGAGCTCAGTGGGAGCTGTGTGTGCTCAGCCCC